CCCTGATTGGGAATTGAACTGCGATCCTCTGGTTCACAGGCCTGTGCTCTGTAAACCTACTTTTGCCACACCCTGTATGGTTATTTTTTTTAACAATTTTGTTTGTTTATTTATATTTTAGAAATAGATGAAGGGGGGGAGAAAGAGAAGGAAATATCAATGTGAGAGAGAAACATTGATCGATTGACCCTCTCATGCACCCCAAACAGAAATGGGGCCTACAACCCAGTCATGACCAGGAATCAAACCAGTGATTTTTCACTTTGCAGGATGAGGCTCAGCCAAGTGAGCCATGCTGATCAGGCCTGTTATTCTTTTAAATGATTGTCACTCTAATAAGTAAAAAATGGCATTTCTTTTATGATCGATAAAATTGAGGATCTTTGTTCTACTGTTTGTTGTTCTCCTTTTCTTTCATTTTATATTTCTGCTAAATTGGTGGGGACACCATCACAAAAATACCACAGACTGGGAAGCTTAAACAATACTTGTTCCAGAGGCTAGAAGTCTGAGATCAAGTTGTTGGCAGCATTAATTATTTCAGAGGCCTCTCCTCAGCTTGTAGATGGCCATCTTCTTCCTGTGTGCCCACATGGTCTTTTCCCTGTGTGTATGTGTCCTAATCTCTTTTCACAAAGATACCAGTCAGATTGGATAAGGGCCTGCCCACATGCCCTCCTTTTACATTAATTACCTTTTTGAATCCTCTATCTTCAAATACAATTACATCAGGGGTCAGAGCTACAACATAAAAATTTGAAGGGCACAATTCAGTCCATAGCGCCAAGGAGATTAACTGTTTTCATGAATATTACAATTGTATTTGTACTAATATTTAAATTGTCTTTTCACTATGGTTATGGAGCTTTTTGTCATGAATAAGTTTAAATGTACCTCCTTTAATCTGAATTCAAATATGTGAACAGGTTACAAGGAAAAGCTCCAATGAGACTCTTCCCATGTACCTCCATTATCATCACACTATCTATTGCAAAGTTATTATTTCCACATTATTTTGTGATTATTTACCATGCATTGGGAAATATTGCATCAAGTATTGTTCATGCTTGAATTATTGCCATGTTGTTTTAACTGTGGTAAATATTTTAGTTGTTTTAAAATATTTGGTTACATTTGCCCAAAGCTAGTGTGGCTCAGTGGATTTAGTGCCAGCTTATGAAACAAAGGGTCACTGGTTTGATTGCCAGTCAGGGCACATGCCTGGGATACTAGCCAGGTCCCAAGTATGGAATGTGTAAGAGGAAAACACACATTGATGTTTCTCTCCCTCTCCTTCTCTCTCCCTTTGCCATCTGTCTAAAATAAATAAAATCCTTAAAATTTTTGGTTAGATTTATTATATTCCCTTTCACTACTTTTAATTTTTACACTTTTCTTAGCCATTTTGTTTCTTCATGCTTTTTTATTTTTTCCTTTTCTTTATTGTTGCTAAAGTACAATTGTCTCCATTTCCCTGCCAGGACTTTTATCTGCCCCACCCACACCACCACATCCCACCTTCAATCTTTCCCACCTTTGGCTTTCTCCGTGAGTCCTTTATCATGTCCATTGATGACCCTTCCTCTTCTTTCCCCTATTACCTCCCTGCCCTCCATGTGGTTACTGTCAGTTTGTTCTTTATTTCCATGTCTCTGATTCTATTTTGCTTGCTTATTTGTTTTGTTGATTCGGTTCCACTGATAAGTGAGATCATATGGTATGTCTTTCACCAACTGATTTGCTTCACATAGCATAATACTCTCCAGGTCCATCCATGCTGCCACAAAGGGTAGAAGCTCCTTCTTTCTTTCTCCTGCATAGTATTCCATTGTGTAAATGTACCATTGTTTATTGATCCATTCATTTACTGTTGGGCACATAGGCAGCTTCCAGCACTTGCCTATTGTAAATTGGGCTGCTATGAACATTGAGGTGCATAGGTTCTTTTGATTAGTGTTTTGGGATTCCTAGGATATAAACCCAGCAGTGGAATTGCTGGGTCAAAAGGCAATTCTATTTTTAGTTTCTTGAGGAAATGACATACTGTTTTCCACAAAGACTGCACCAGTTTGCATTCCCAGCAACACTGCACTAAGGTTCCATTTTCTCCACAACCCCATCATCACTTACTGTTTGTTGATTTTTTTATAATGGCCATCCTGACTGGTGTGCAGTGATATCTCATTGTGGTTTTAATTTGCATCTCTCTGATAGCTAGTGATGCTGAGCATCTTTTCATATGTTTCTGGGCCCTCTGTATGTCCTCCTTAGAGAAGTGTGTGTTCACGTCCTTTGCCTATTTTTAATTGGGTTGTTTGTCTCCCTGGAGTAGAGTGGTGTGAGTTCTTTATATATTTTGGATTTAAACCCTTGTCTGAGATGTCATTGTCAATTTTTTTTTTACCATACAGTTGATTCTCTTTTCATTTTGTGAATGTTCTCTTTAGCCATGCAGAAGCTTTTTATTTTGATAAAGTCCAAATTGTTTATTCTTTCCTTTATATCCCTTGCTTTAAAGGACATATCTCAGAAAATATTGCTGTGTGGATTATCTAAGGTTTTCCTGCCTATCTTCCCCTCTAGGACTTTTATGGTATCACAACTTATATTTAAGTCTTTTATTCAACTTGTGTTTGTTTTTGTGTATGGCGAAAGTTGGTCGAGTTTCATTTTTTTGCATGTAACTGTCCGGATCTCCCAACACCATTTGTTGAACAGATGATTTTCATTCCATTTTATGTTTCTGCCACTTTTGTTGAATATTAATTGACCACAGAGACTTGGGTTTGTTTCTGGACTCTCTATTCTGTACCAATGATCTATGTGTCTGTTCTTATGCCAGTACCAGACTGTTTTGATTACCATGGCCTTGTAACATACTATGATGTCAGGTATGGTAATGCCACCTACTTTGTTCTTCTTTCTCAAAATTGATGCTGCTATTCGGGTTTGTTTATGGTTCCATATACATTTTTGAAGTGTTTATTCTATGTCTGTGAAATATATCATTGGTATTATAATAGGGACTGAGTTGAATCTACAAATTGCTGTGGGTAGCATAGACATTTTGATGATGTTAATTCTTCCAACCCATGAACATGGTATATGCTTCCATTTATTTGTATCTTCCTTAATTTCTTCAGTGTTGTTTGATTTTTTGAGTATAGGTCTTTTACCTCTTTGGTTAGGTTTATTCCTAGGTATTTTATTCTTCTTGTTGCTATATCAAATGGGATTTTTCTCCTGATTTCTGTTTCTGATATTTCATTGCTGGTGTGTAGGAGACTGTTCTGCATGGTGTGGGCCCAGCTCCCACTCGGAGATGCACAGGACCCATGCCCACAGATAGGTTCTCCCATGGGAATCAGGCCTGCAATATGCCTAGGCTGCTTTGAGTCTTGCTTTTGCTAAAAACTCCCTCACCCGGATTTGTGGCAAACATTTACTGCAAAATGACTTCCTAAAATTTATGCTAAACCTTCCAAGGATGAGTGTAACCAGTCCAACCACTTTTGCCTTTTCATTTGCAAATACCCCTCTTCTGTGATGTGATTAGCAGCATTGGCTCCTCGGTTTTATGTAAAAGGTAACTACCTAAAGCAACCTGTGCATAGTAAATGAGGACTATAATGTAATGTGCCAAGAAACCCAATAAAGGCTGGTCATGGCAAGGACTGAGGCCTTGAGAGAAAAGCCTTTCTGCAAGGCCTTTTGCTCCCCTTGAGAGAAAAGTCATGCCCACCCTTTTCCACGACAGGACTCAGTGGACTCTCCCCTATCCACAATGTCGTGGACCCCACAAGCAGGGGTCTGCATCATTGGTGTACAAAAATGTCTTCAGTTTCTGAATATTGACATTGTATCTGTTCTTTTACGAAATTCACTCTTTAGATTGAGTAGTTTTTGGATGGAGTTTGTAGGATTTTCTATGTACACTATCATGTCACCTGGAAACAATGACAATTTTATTCCTCCTTTACAATTTGGATGCCTTTTATTCCTTCTTCTTGCCTGATTTCTGTGGCTAGGTATTCCAATACTATGATGAAAAGGAGTGGTGAAAGTGGACATTATTATTCTTCCTGATCTTAGTGGGAAAGCTTTTAGTTTTTGACCATTGTTTTTGCCCATTGTGTATTATGTTGGCTGCAGGTCTCTCATATATGGCCTTCATTATGTTGAGGAATGCTCCCTCTACTCCCACTTTGCTGAGTGTTTTTATCATAGATGAGTTCTGTACTTTATCTAATGCTTTTTCCACATCTATTGCTATCATCTTTTTTTTTTTAGGTCAAAACGGACTTTAATGTCTCCTCTTACAACATGATAGCACTGCTTAAACTGGAACTGGCACACAGCTCCCAGGACTGGCTTCCTATGAGGAATGAAGCTGGCATGTCCCTGGCTGCTGGGCACATGTCCCCAGGCACTTGGCTAGCTCAGTACAAACTCTGTAGTCCAAATACCCACATCTGCTGCAGGTCACCATTTTTGGAGCTCTGGAACTGGCAGTGTAGATTCTGTGTATCCCAAATATACCAGATACTGCCTCTTTGGACTAGCTGCTCCCACCCCCTCTTCAATATTGTTTTTCTCAGATTTGTGAGGTACTAAAAAACACCCTGGTCTTACAGGGCCTAAATCTCCCATCATCACAGCTTTGAATCCTCTGTTTTGTATTTGCTTAAAACAGCTTGGAAGAGTGACTCGTGCTGACATTACTTGCCCTGTCCAGAGAACTCCTGGAAGTCACATTTCCCAAGTTTCTTCCCAGCCGATGGCTCCCTTCTCTGCCCAACACAGTAAGGGTGATGCCCAAGAACTGCATTTAGGAATGAAGACAGATGGAATTCTGTCTTCTTTCTACACCAGTCAGTCCTTGTCTTGATCACTTTATCTCTCTTTCATTAACAAGCACATCTGCATGTACACAGAATTCTGGAAGGATCTTCTTATCTTGAAGACTATGGAAATATTTTCTGAATTCATGGAATTACCCCTTTCACTGACTGACATTCAAACTGCAGAGTGGTCTCTGCCTTCCCATATGTCTTCTCGTTGCTTGGCTTCCAACCGTTTTCTCTCTCGGGCTTCTTGCAGTTTCTTGAGCTCAGCTTCCCATTCAGTTTTGCTCTGCTTACTTCGAACCCCAAGGGCACTGATGAATAGCCTTTGGGCTAAGGCAGCAGAAGTCTCCGGACGCTCCTTTGCTGGCTGGAGGAACTCAGCATAAGCTCTCGCTTTGGCCTTGGCTGCTCTTGTGGCCTGTGACAAGGGCCGGATCTTCACCATGGTATGTTTACTACCCAAAGCATCTCGAGCTGTAATTGGACTGGAAAATACTCCGAGAGCATGTGTATCATCCACCCATTTAATATCAAATCCTTTCTTCTGATAACTGCAGAAAACCCGTAGGAGGTCTTCAGTATGAAATTCTTGGGGGAAGTCATAAATTTCAATGACATGGGGGAATTCACAATCACTGAGATCAATATCAGGAACTTCATTGTTGTAATAATCAAATCTAGGTTCCTGGACACTTTCTCTATTCTTCATATTCTCTGATAACTCTTGTAGAAGGTGTGGATCCAGGCAGTCACCATCATCATTAAATATGGACTCCCAGCTCTCCTCAGTAGCAGCGCTTCCCTCCATGTGAGAAGTTTCAGTAGCTTTTGGGTCTGTGGATGTCTCTATAGAAATTGATTCTATATCAGGAAAGGATATACCAAGTTCTACATTCTCTGAGTCATCTCCCTCTTTTGATTTGAACTCTTCAGCAGTTTTCAGTTCATGCAATGCCTCTGTTGTATCACCAGTACAATCTAGATCATTGCCCAATGCACTATCTGAAAGTACTTTTGTCTCATTTAACACACTGAGTTCAGAGTCCAAAAAGATGTTACAATTACTACCAGCAATCTTCTTTACAGGCAAGACCGAAGCAAAATCTGATGAGTTCTCTATCAACTTTCCTGTTAACTCGGTGAAACCAGATGAAATACTCTCAGCATAAGTATCTGAGCAAGCAGTCAGGTTGCTGAAACTTTCAATGTCCTTCCCACTTCTAGCTACATGAACAGGGGCTATACCTGTACTCATTGCTAAATATTTTGAGAAACTACTTGTGTTGCTACAGCCCTCATCAGCTATTCTAACTGCAACGACACAAGGGTTGTCTATAGTTATTTGATCAGATATGGTATCTGTAATGTCCATCATACATGTCTTACTTGTAATGTCACCTACAATCTTAAACCCATTACCCGTGTCTGTTTTATGAGCAAGGGCAGCTGACTCAGAGGGTTCATACTTTACACATAACTCATTAGCAGTGCTGTCATTCTCCTCACAGTCTCTAATCATTGGTGGATCAAAAATGCCATTTGTGCTCTCTAACTTGTTGACTAAAGTCATTTTATAAGAGATGTGACTTATTGTCTCAGGAATGGAATCTATGCCTTTCTGACCCAAGGTGAAATCTGTACTATTAGCTATATCACCAACATTCTCAGCTTCAAAGTCTACACAAGTTTGAGCAGTGACACCCTTTGGACTTCCAGGAACAGGAAGAGTGGTCATGCCTCCACTGCTGAGCTTCAACATTCCACCTGGTGTTTGTATGCCTTGTTGCACAGTTCCAGAATTAGAGCTTAGTTTTACTGGTGCAATCATACTCTCAGGTCTCAAAACAGAATTATAAACTCCAGGAAATTGAGATTGCATCTCTACAACCTTGGCATCAGTTTCAATCCTGCTTTCTAAACCTCTGTTTTCAAACATTTCCCCATTTAGTTCAGGCCTACTGAAATCACAGAATTCCACATTTTGGAATGGCTTCTTTAGAATCAAAGGCTCACCAATTTCTGAACAAGACAGACAGAAGCAACCTCTCATGTCTTGTCACATCTGTGGTTTCAACCTCCAAACACTCCACCTTCTTTGGCTTAAAATGTCTTTGTAAAAGTTCACTAGGTACAGTCCCAGAATTTAGCACACCTTGCTGATATTCTTGGGATAATATTTCTTTGGATTCTGTCACTCCCCTCTTACTACAAACCCTGTCTTTATTGTTGTCTTGAAGGCATGTGTCTTTTCTTAATTTTGTTGAAGATTTCTTTCCTTCTCTATGACTGTGCTCCTTTTTATCGGGATAAATACTTAATCTCTGAGCCTCGGATTTATCCCTAAAGATCTTCTGGAAGAGGGAATCTTCTTTTTGTTCTTTCACCGAAGAGTTAGGTAGACCATAGTTTTTTTCCTCATCCCTTGTCTTGGGAAGTACTACACCCCTTTGAGCTTTAGGAATATAAAGTGCCATGTCAGGCCTTCTGGTTCGAACTCTGCATCTTGCTGCTTCTTGCTGCATGGCACCACCTCAATCTTTATGCCTGATAGACAGAACAAATGTTCTCTTCTAGGTTTCTATGCTTCTGTATTTCTCTAGAAGGCAGTACCAGAACCAACTTAGAATACAACAGTATCTTCAGAGAAATGCTGCTTTAAGGATCAGGAAGCCAGTACAGAGTGCTGTTGAAAGCCAAGGAAGGAACGTCTCCTCCACACGGAAGAGGGCAAGGGCACTCAGTAAGCACGCTGCCCCTAGCAGAGCAAAAATGCCCCAGTAGGGCACCACCCACGACCCCCTACAACACAAATCCCTCAGGGGTAGAAGGGCGGGAGCTTCCCAGTAACCTCCACCCCAGGCGAGGGCCCGCCCCTATCATCATCTATTTTTTGTCTTTTCTTTTGTTTATGTAATGTATTACCTTTATTGATTTGTGAATATTGTACCATCATTGCTTCCCTGGGTTGAATCCCACTTGATCATGGTCTATGATCTTTTTGCTGTATTGCTGGATGTTGTTTGCCAATATTTTGTTGAGGATTTTAGTGTCTATATTCATCAGTGATATTGGCCTGTAGTTTTCTTTCTTTGTTGTGTCTTTATCTGGTTTCTTAAAAAGAGTTTGGGAGTCTGCCATCTTTTTGAATTTTTTGGAATAATCTTTAAAGGATTTGGGTTAGCTTTTCCTTAAATGTTTTATAAAATTTTCCTGTAGAATTGTCTGGTCCAGGCCTTTTGTGTGTTGCAAGTTTTTTTTTTTTACCTTATTTCAGTGTTTATTCAATATATATTTAGGAAGAGCCTACTAAATTCTAGGCGTTGCCATACGGATAATGAAACAGACCTAGAGAGAGTGGTGAAGGGGGAAAAAAATCAGGCCTCGACTCCAAACTCAATATTTTTACTTCCCACCAGTCCTTGAATACACAGGAATTGAGCAAAGGGGCTGTGAGTTTAAATCCTGGAAGGCTTCCTCAGGACTTCCTTGATAAGAAAGGTGAAAAATAAAATATTACGGACTAAGAAGAACAATAGCCTTCTAAAAAAAGAAAGCTTTACCTTTTCTCCCTAGTAAGAATACAAGCTCGTATTCTTAACCAGAAAGTTGTTGCAAGTTTTTTGATTACTGCTTTTATTTTGTCAGCTGTTATTGGTCTGTTCGGGCTTCCTGCTTCTTCTTCATTGAGTTTTGGAGGATTACATCTTTCTAGAAATTTGTCAATTTCACCTAGGTGTTGACATTTTTTTTTAAGATTTTATTTATATTTATTTATTTTTAGACAGACGGGGAGGGAGGAAGAAAGGGAGACAGAAACATCAGTGTGTGGTTGCCTCTCACATGTCGTCTCCACTGGGGACCTGGCCTACAACCCAGGCATGTGCCCTGACTGGGAATCAAACTGGCAACCCCTTGGTTCACAGCCCGCACTCAGTCCACTGATCTACACCAGCCAGGGTGAAATTTCTTGATGTATAATTCTTCATAGTAATTTTTTACAATCCTTTGTATTTTCGAGGTGTCACTTGTAATTTCTCCTCTTTCATTTCTGATTGTGTTTATTTGGGTCCTCTCTCTTTTTTTGTCTTGATGAGTCTGCATAAAATTTGTCAACTTTGTTTATCTTTTCAAAGAACCAGATCCTGGATTTATTGATCCTTAGAATTGTTTCTTTAGAGTCTATGTTGTTTTATTCTGCTCTGCTCTTGATCACTTCTTTCCTTCTACTTGCTCCAGGCTTTGATTTTTGTTGTTCCTCCAGTTCCTATAGATATAGGGTTAGGTTGTTTATTTAAGATGTATTTACCTTCTTTAGGTATTCCTGTATCATTATGAACTTCCCTCTCTGGACTGCCTTAGCTGTGTCCCATGTTTTGTACTGTTGGGAGTTCATTTTCCTTTGTTTCCAGAAACCTTTTGATTTTTTCCTTGATCTCATCCTTAACCCATTATTGTTTAATAGCATGCTATCAAATCTCCATGAGTTTGAGGGTTTTTGAGTTTTTCCCTTGGGGTTGGTTTCTACTTTCACGCCTTCGTGGTCTGAGAAGATGCTTTTTATCATTTCAATTTACTTAAAATTGTTGAGGCTCATTTTGTGTCCTCTAATGTAATCTATCTTGGAAAATGTTCCATGTTGCATTTCAAAAGAAGGTGTATTTTGCTTCTTTGGGACAAAAAGTTATATATATATATATATATATATATATATATATATATATATATATCAGTAAATTCATTTTCTCTAGGCCATTGTTCAGTGCTGCAATATTCTTGTTGGTATTTTGTTTGGAAGATCTATCAATTTTTAATAGGTGTTAAAATCCCTAGTATAAGTGTACCTCCTTAATGAGGTTTATTCCCAGATATTTTATTTTTCTTTTTGCTATATCGAATGAAATTTTTTCCTTGATTCCTGCTTCTGCTGATTCATTATTGGTATACAAAAATGCCTTTGATTTCTGGATATTGACTTTGTAACCAGCTGTTTTGCCAAATTCATTAATTAGTTCGAGCAGTTTTTGGGTAGAGTCTATAGGATTTTCCATGTACACTATCATGTCATCTGCAAACAGTGACAGTTTTGCTTCCTCCTTTCCTGTTTGGATGCCTTTTATTTCCTTTTCTTGCCTGATCGCTGTGGCTAAAACTTCCAATACTATATTGAATAGAAGTGGTGAAAGTGGACAACCTTGTCTTGTTCCTGATCTTAGTGGAAAAGCTTTTAGTTTTTTCCCATTGAGTATGGTATTGGCTGTAGGTCTCTCATATATGGCCTTTATTATTTTGAGAAATGCTCCCTGTATTCCCACTTTGCTGAGTGTTTTTATCATAAATGGGTATTGTACCTTATTGAAAGCTTTTTCCGCATCTATTGATATGATCATGTGATTTTTACCTTTGCTTTTGTTTATGTGATGTATTACATTTACTGATTTGCGAATATTGAACCATCCTTGCATCCCTGGGATGAATCCCACTTGGTCATGGTGTATGATCTTTTTGATATATTGTTGGATGCAATTTGCCAATATTTTGTTGAGGATTTTAGCATCTATGTTCATCAGCGATATTGACCTGAAGTTTTCTTTCTTGGTTGTATCTCTATCTGGTTTTGGAATTAGGATGATGCTGGCTTCATAAAAGGAGTTTGGGAGTTTTTCATCCTTTTGGATTTTTTGGAATAGTCTGTGAAGAATGAGGGTTAGCTCTTCCTTAAATGCTTTGTAGAATTCTCCTGTGAACCCATCTGGTCCAGGGCTTTTGTGTGATGGAAGTTTTTTGATTACTGCTTCAATTTCTTTTGCTGTTATTGGTCTATTCAGGTTTTCTACTTCTTTTTCATTGAGTTTTGGAAGATTGTATTTTTCTAGAAATGTGTCCATTTCCCCTAAGTTCTCAAATTTCTTGGCATACAGTTCTTCGTAGTAATTTCTTACAATCCCTTCTATTTCTGTGGTATCAGTTGTAATCTCTCCTCTTTCATTTCTGATTGTGTTTATTTGGATTCATTCCCTTCTGTTCTTGATGAGCCTACTTAAAGGCTTGTCTATTTTGTTTATCTTTTCAAAGAACCAACTCCTGGATTCATTGATCCTTAGAATTGTGCTTTTCATCTCTATGTCATTTAGTTCTGTTCTGATCTTGGTTATTTCCTTCCTTCTACTTGCTTTGGGCTGTTTTTGTTGTTGTTCCTTGAGTTCTTGCAGGCGTAGGGTTAGGTTGTTTGTTTGAAATGTTTCTATCTTCTTTAGGTAGTCTTGTATTGCTATAAACTTTCCTCTGAGGACTGCCTTCACTGTGTCCCATAAGTTTTGGGTTGTTGTGAGATCGTTTTCATTTGTTTCCAGAAACATTTTGATTTCTTCCCTAATTTCATTCTTGACCCATTCATTGTTTAATAGCATACCATTCAGTCTCCATGATTTTGGGTGTTTTGGGTTTTGTCCTTTGGGGTGGTTTCCAATTTCAGTGCCTTGTGGTCAGAGAAAATGCTTGGTATAATTTCAATATTCTTGAATTTGTTGAGGCTTGTTTTGTGTCGTATCATGTGGTCTATCTTTAAGAATGTTCCATGTGCATTTGAAAAGAATGAGTGTTTAGCTTCTTTGGGGTGAAGAGCTCTGTATGTATCAATTAGGTCCATTTCATCAAGGGTGTTGTTTAATGCCGCAATGTCTTTGTTGATATTTTGTTTGGAAGATCTGTCCATTTTTGATAGTGGGGTGTTAAAATCCCCCAGTATAATTGTTTTGCTGTCTATATCTTTCTTGAATTCCTCTAAGATTTTCTTTATGTATTTTGGTTCTCCTATCTTGGGTGCATATATATTTATGATGTTAATGTCTTCTTGGTGGATTTTTCCCTTGAGTATTATGAAGTGACCTTCTGGGTCTCTCTTTATGGCTCTTTTTTTGAAGTCTATTTTGTCTGATACTAGAATTGCTACCCCAGCTTTTTTTTCTTGTCCATTTGCTTGGAAAACTTGTTTCCAGCCTTTCACTTTTAGTCTGTGATAATCTTTTGTCCTGAGGTGGGTCTCTTGTAGGCAGCATATGTGTGCATGACCTAATGGTTTTCTTAAAATAAGGACTAAACGGTACTGGCTTAGAACTATTTCCAGTAACAGAGTGACAACTCAGTATATTCCTTCTAGACACTTTATTTATAATGATACTAACTTTATTTCATTAGTAAAAGTAAATACCCTGAATGTTGTCCCAATACTTAGCAACATTCAAAATAGCACCAATCAGAGGAAGCTACCTTTGTCGATCTTTAGAAATGGTAATTTAATTTAAATGAATTTCCCCCTCAAATCTCACATTCCATGTCAGAAGTATTCTTTGCCAAGATTTTTTTAAACTAAGTTAGACAGATGGTTGTCTCTCTTTGAAATACGAAGTAAAAGCCAAAATACAAATTTCCAAAATAGCGTGCTTCTCTTAGACATAGGAATTTTGGGACTTTCTGTTTGACATATATTGGCTGGAGGCTTAAAATACCTTTTCAAAGAAAAATACAATTTATGTACAAATGTAAAATGCA